GTTTCTGTTACTGCTGCTGTTGTTACTGCTTTTACTGCTGCTTTTACTGCTGTTACTGCTGCTGTTGTTACTGTTACCGCTGCTGTTGTTACTGCTGCTGCCGCTGGCGGTGTTTCTGTTACTGCTGCTGTTGTTACTGTTACTGCTGTTACTGTTACTGCTGCTGTTGTTACTGTTACTGCTGTTACTGTTACTGCTGCTGTTGTTACTGCTGCTGCCGCTGGCGGTGTTTCTGTTACTGCTGCTGTTGTTACTGTTACCGCTGCTGTTGTTACTGCTGCTGCTGTTACTTTTGCTGCTGCTGCTGTTACTTTTGCTGCTGCTGCTGTTACTTTTGCTGCTGCTGCTGTTACTGCTGTTTCTGCTGCTGCTGTTACTGCTGTTTCTGCTGCTGCTGTTACTGCTGTTACTGCTGTTACTGCTGTTCCTGCTGCTGTTACTGCTGTTACTGCTGTTTCTGCTGCTGCTGTTACTGCTGTTACTGCTGTTTCTGCTGCTGCTGTTACTGCTGTTGCTGCTGCTGCTGTTACTGGTACTGCTGCTGTTGTTACTGCTGCTGCTGCTGTTGTTACTGTTGCTGCTATAGACACTTTTAAATCGATGCCCAGAAAATAATTCAGTTCTCTCTGTTCTCCGTGCGCTGCGTGAGGGAATCACTCCAAGATGGATGCTCTGTTTCACTCAGATCATTGATTGGCCGATACAGGTCCAGACATGGAGCTGAAGAGATGTATCCATGAGGTAGCAGCTCGTAACATGCACTCACTGCCCCAGGCTGTCCCGCGCACACACACACACACACACTGTGATTATGTGAGTCATTTATATACAGTACTTATCAAAGTGTCTGTTTTCATTTGATTTCATCATATTTCTGTTCTCCAATAGTGATTTTTCAAACTGCTTTTTTAGACCAAGAATTTTAGATCATCCTTCCACATCTTTTTCAAAAGGGTTTTGTTTTGTTGTCTTTTTTGTTTGGTCTGGAGGAAACTTTCTGCTACAGAGCCCACACAGTATTGACTAGGCCTCAGGAGTGAGTCATAGCTCCTCTAATGGAAATCCATTTAGCTGGGTCTGAACTAGAAGTCTGTGCATGGAGGCACATGGTCACGGAGAACTGAACCTCCGACCGTCTCCAAGCACAAGGAGGACGAGACATTCAAGGTGAACAGAGCCAAAGAAGCAACAATAAAGACATCTTCATCAGGCCGTTCTCTGTGGATCAAAACTGTTCTCACTGCTTTATTAGCACTTGAAAGAAGCCACGGTTGGTTTTTATGTTAGCAGCCGGTCGTGGGTGATTGATAACCAAGAGGATGATCTGATGTGTGTAAAAAAACAAAAAAAAAAAAAGCTGTGAAGGCAGCAGAATATGTGGGAAATGCAGATGCAGGGATCATTAATATTTACATAGACTTCCTGCCTGGAGTGAATTGGATTTGAACGCTGGGTTTTTAGTGTAATATATTCACTGTGGCTCTTGATTGTGACATTGCTGCAGCCTGAGAGGAAAAACTGTGAATTCATTTGAAGTGAATCTTTTAATAAGGGAAAAGGAAAGAGGAGACTGTGAAGGTCAGTCTCTGAGCGGTGCTGTGAGCAAATAAATGCAAAAAAATCTGATTGGACGATGAAAAAAATGAAAAAGGACCACGTGACCTCGTAAAGTAGAAATGCTGAATAAAGTGTGTTTGTGTGGAGCAGATGATGATTAGTAGACAAACAGTACTATACAACAGTACCAAAAGTACCACAGCCACAGCCTGAGATTCCATTTTCTCCAGCAGAGTTGGTTTTAATGTGGTGTAAAAACTGCTGAATGAGTAATGAGATCAGTCGTATTTTATAATCTGTTTTTATACCTCTTTATAACCTCTCCCTCTCCCCCTCCCCCCTCTCTCTTCCCCCGTTTCTCCCTCTCCCTCTCCCTCTCCCTCTCTCCCTCTCTCTCCCCGTCTCTCCCTCTCCCTCTGCCTCTCCCTCTCCCCCCCCCCCCCCCCCCCTCCCTCTCCCCCCCCTTCTCCCTCTCCCTCTCCCTCTCCCTCACCCTCTCCCTCTCCCTCTCCCTCTGCCTCTCCCTCTCCCTCTCTCCCTCTCTCTCCCCTTCTCTTCCTCTCCCTCTCCCTCTCCCTCACCCTCTCCCTCTCCCTCTCCCTCTCTCTCTTCTGCCTGTATGAAGACTTATAGGATTTTCAGTTCACAGTTTAATGCACCAATTTATTTTCAAATCCTTGGAGGTAAATCTGTCACTGGAATGTTCACTGCAACAATGTGTTCCAAGGTCAGGATGGATGGATGGATGGATGGATGGTGGATGGATGGATGGTGGATGGGTGGATGGTTGGATTGGAGACTGAATGGGTGGATGAATGGATGGATGATGGAAGTTTTTAGGTAATATTTATAGTAGAGAACAAATCTTATTCTTTTCCATTTCTCATATTTCATTCAGACTTTCAGCAGGTCATTAGTTCATCTCATACTCAGGTTACTTTAATCCTGAAGAGTTACTGTATAAACCAGGTAAAGGTTAGCTTTATTGACGCCACTTAGATGAAAGAAAACCATACAGTTGAAAAACTCCACCAACTCCACAAAACAAAGCTCTGACTTTTACTTCTGCATATTTTTTTCCGGATTTTTCCAAATGATTAATTCTATCATTTGGATTAATCACAAATAAAAGCAGGTGTGAAACTCTTACATCTGCCTTATTGTTATTTATGTTTCTGTTCCAACAATATGCAGATTCATTTTTGTCAATTTAAGAATGTTGATTACTTCAGATTATTAAGAATTCAATTATGATTAAACCACAGCTACACTGTGATTAATCAGATTATAATGTTTAATTGTTTGACAGCCCTAAAAGAGTCTCATATAGAGGAGACTTTATTTATACATGAAATTAATCACTTTTTAATTCACAACACACCATCGTCGCAGGCAAAACAACTCCACCGACCTCTAAAATATACAAATGTATTTAGCATTCCCATTGGCCTTCCTGGTTTTTATCCACACTTGCATAACAACATACATAATGCAAAGCTAATTAATTTTCTAAGCCTTAGCCAATAAAAATGAGCTAAACAGGTTCAAACCACGTGTGTGGTGAGTGTTTGGAGACTTCAAGTGATCCTGCGTGCTAACACCGACACCTGTCTGATTGCACTCCAGATGCTGGCTTCTAAAATCACAGCCATTCACAGTCACAATTGGATTCCTCTTCAGTCGCCGACTCTGCCAAGTCTTTACGCCAGTTGTCATTACAGCAGCTTTGTGCCTCTGTACTCAATTCACAGCCCAAAAGTGTTGCGTGTCTGTGTGAGGAAACACCTGCTGTCTGTAGAAGCATCTGTCTTTGTTACTAGGCAGATGCCCTAAAGTGTCTGTGGGACCAGGGCACAACTAGATTACATTCATTAAATGGAGTTGAGAAAGTGAGACGACTGCAGACTGTTGCGGTTTGTTAAATGCTAATGAGGCTGTAAGTATAGTCTAGGTTTCTTTTTACTGCATGGACCAGTGAAGCTCTGAAGAGCTGATCACTCATAACATGGAACAGTAACGACTGTACGTGAGGATGAGTGAAGAGTTTAGGTTTGAACAGCATCACGAGGACGCATCTTTGGATGGAAACAAACAGTATGGACCAAAACCTGACAACAATCCTACATGTGACGGTACGTCCACCTGTAGAATCAGCAGTACTGTCTCTTACTCTATTATTACTCGCTCTACAATATTCAGTGACAGATCAGATGTGGACGGTCACTGCACCAAGTCCTGACTTTCTCACAAACATATTAAGGTCTGGTCCGTACCAGCTGCAGTACTAGTCTCTTGATTTCCATGTCTGTAAATCGCACGTTTTTCCTAGTGGTTGATAAAAAACCAGCCTCATCATCACCTCCCATATCTGACGTAACCTGTATTTAAATATTAAATAGGTGTTTGCAGCTTCCACCACGTCTTTAATCTAACACTTACATGATGACAGCAGACGCAGCAGTCACGCCACAGGATGTTCATCAACTCCTGCTGAGTCTGACTGAAGCCCAGCCTCTGTTCTATTGCTCAGTTTGAAGGAGGACCAGTCAGCTGTGTCTTGCCTCCTTAGTGTGGGCACTAGAAGTTAATCACAGAGATGCATAGCCCTACGTCCTGGAGGCCCCGAAGCCTCGGTGCTCACACCATCCTGCTGTGTCTCAGATGACAAACAGCTTCAACAAAGCTGAATAAAGAATCCAGAGACAAATAAACTGTTCCTTCTTATTTCATATATCCACTTGGGGGCCACACATTGGAAGAGTGGTCCGTGCTTTTGCCTTACAGCAAGATCAGTAGTTCGACCGAATCCCCCCGCCCCCCAAATTGATCTTTAGGTCTTTGATCAGTCAAGACTGTAGAGAACCATTGATGACTGATACTGTAGAACACATAGGATAGCATTGTTGCAAAAGTACACCACTGCCATCTAGCGGTGATTGTGTAGTGCACACAACTACAATCGCGCTGCTTAGACTCCACGGAGAATAGACTTTAACCGACTAGATTTTAGTCAAAAATAAGTCAATAACATAATTGAATAGAAATGTTGACGTAGAATTTGCCTAGTAATTAAAAATTATAAAAAAAGTGGGACGTTTGTTGTAAGAGGTAATGCTGTAACATATATAGGCTATACATATATATACATACATACATATATATATGTGAACGAAAGGAAGTGCAAAAATATCCAAATCCAAGTTGAAAATATACAACAAAAAACTATAGATGGTGACAAAGACTACCATCTATTGGAAAACATTTGGAGAATTGTGAACATCATCATCTCCATGTCAATACTTCAGTCATCAAACAAGGACAGACTACACACTGGACAGTTCACGGGTCCATCACACGGCCACACAGAAAGACCACCAAATATTCACGCTCACATTTAATGAATAAGAAGAGAACCCAGAAAGAACCTGCAACAAATTGAAAACTTACGTCATAAAATTCTTTATTCATAAACTTGATGCAAGTTTACAAATTACTTTACATGGTGAAAATCACCCTTGCAATGTTTAAAAAAAAGAAACCAAACCAAAGCATGCTGACAGTGCGTAACTTTAGAACCCAGCCAACGCTGTTAATGAAGCCAAGTAAAGAACCCAGAAACAGGCCTCGAACCCATGTATCGCTCCAAGAGGTGAAGTCTGTGACTAAACCAGGTTGAATGAATAGTAGTTTTTTTTTTTGGTGAACGGCAGACAGAGAACACACACACCACTGAAGAGCTACATTTGTGGGGAATATTGTTATTAAGTCTGTGGTGTTTGTCAGGTCTCACGCAGTGTTTGACGGAGATTCACTTCAAATCAAGATACTTCCCACCAAACACATATCCTTCAGTAGTTCAGGGTGAAATCACCCACTGATTCACTGACAAGAACACAGACACATCACAGACACAGGGCTGAAGTTTTCTACAGTTCTGATCAAACTTTGAAGCAAATCTTTTCTTTTTTTTTTTCCGTTTCAATTGTCACGTGTGTTCAAGGCAACAACACACTGGAATGACTACTGGAAAAAATGGCCCCAAAAATAAAGTCTGACACATTAGATTTCCAGATACAATGTTGTGAAGCCATTATTTGCAAAATGTATTCCTGAGTTCCTCCGGAGTCTGCAGAGGATGGACTCGACAACAGGATTAAAATGGAGGAGGAAGGAGACAATGGAGGAGTTGTGTGTTTTCACAGCCTTCTCTCCTGGTGGTGGTGGTGTCTGAGGTTAGTGTCACCAAAGGTCAAACTGAGAGGAAAAAAACAGGCCTTCTGAATGAGCATAACTAAGCTTTGTGTGCTGGCTTGTCAGGACGATATACTTAAAGCAAATAACCACACGACAGAACACCCACAAAGAAAGTTGGAACCGCAGAATGCTCCACACAGTTTTCTGCATAATATTCACATTACATTAAAAGAGTCAGTACACTGAGGAGTACAGCGGTGCTGAGAGCGGTGAGGAAGAGTTACCAGAGAGGTGGGAGAAGGAAGAGCCGGGTCCCCCTTGTGGTCAAACTCACCAAATCATCCTAGAAAAAAACCACTCCAGTCACTCTTCCCAGGTGTGAAGTCAGAAGTTAAAAAGGTTGAGGCTATTGCTGTGAGTTTGTCATTTCAGATGTTTTTTTAAGAAGTCACAAGGTCAGGATACAAGTGAGAAGGTGATGAAGACAACCTTCTTCCTGGGAAAAATGGTTGCAGTGAGAAACCAAGCTGGTAACTGCTGTGGAGCGTTAAGACTATTTAGTTTACACAACACTACAGCACAGCCAGGTCTCCACTGCATCGTCACTGCATCGTCACTGCATGGCCTCACTGAGGTTCCTCTGGTTGGAGAGATTAGATCTGGAGCGCCAACCCTCTGGAATGCCAAAAATGACTGCATCTACATAATTGACATGAAGCACTTTCCATCAAATAAAGGGGAATGATGATGTCACTGTTGACAATAACATGAGGATTACAAGTCAGAAAAAAAAAACTGCAGTAGTCATTAAACATACATCGTTTCCTTCCACAATGTTCTCCTCAAACAAGGCTTTTCTTATTCAAACTGGGTCGAGAGGTTTCGTCGAGTTAGACCCAGACCAGGTTATATTATAAACAATTAAATCCTTTTTTTGCAGTAATACAAATTTACATGTTTACATGTGGAGTTTAAAATCAACTACATTACAGTGTGATCCTTAGCTGCGCACCAAACCCCTCCAGTAGGAGGCGGTCTGGCAGCTGCTGGTTATGAAGAGGACAGTGGTCTTTAACTCAGTCAGATATTGTGTTTCTGTCTCTTGTTATGGCCCGTCCTGGTCAGGCGGTCAAATGTCACTTCTCCATCACTTCCCTCTTGTAAATTCAAGACTTGAAGCTCTTTTGGACAAGAGGTGTTAAATGCAAGCCAGCTTCAAAAGCATGTTATTCCAGAGGAGGGGTCTTATTATCACAAAGATAATATATGAGCACAATATTACAGAGGTTTTGGTCCAAACAGAGGAAAGGCAGTGGTTCTTTAACTTTAAACCACTGCCAGCATTGTTCGTGTCCAAGACTTTGCTGCGTCTTATCAGCCAATGAACACATGCCGTTCCTGGATCCAGTCTGAGGCCAGAGAGGCCTCGTCCTGAGGCTGGAGCATCAGACTGCACAGCTGGAGGATAAAAAGCCATGCTCCACATCGCAGCCAGCGTGTAACCTCGACATGCTCGACGCCAAAGACCAAGGGTGAGTTTGCCAGTTTTAGTCAATTATCCCGGCGTACAGAACAAACGCTGCGCTGGAGAAAGTTCAGATTGTATCAGGCAAAAGATGCACACGGAGACAAACGTCCATGGAACAGAGGGACTTAGATCAGATGAGGACGAGACTGACTGTGTGTCAATGTGCTAATTTTTGGGTGGCAACGCAATTTGGAATTTGGTTCAAAATTTCATTGATGTCAAGAACTAAGTAGTCTGCAGGACTAAAAAAAAACAAAACCCAAAAATTGGTCACAAGAAAGAAAGAAAGAAATGTGGTCCCACCACAGGAAAGGGAAAAGTCTGCCTTAGCCATCCTCTTTAGGGGGTGTGTACCAGCCTAAGGGAAAAACAGAAAAGAATGAAAACTTGATAAAACAGCAGGAGTGTAGGTTTTGACTGCAGTGATTTATGTCCCAGACTTAGTTAAATGGAGTTAATGTGTTGACATTGTTAGGTGTGACCACACAGAACAAAAGTGTTAGGGTTAGGCCTTTTCATTACTAGCAGATGCATAGCACCCCTGCTGGAGAGATTTATGTTTGTCAATAAAGAAATGGCACACGTTTTAATACATTTTTGACCAGTCGATTGGTGCCAATGTTCTTAATTTTGCAGGATTGGCGTTCGGCAAATTCCTTTCTACTGATCTTTTCTATCAGTCGGTCACAGTGGTGAGAGACGGCTGACTGACAGGCCTGCCAAACTGGACAAAAAATTGTTATTGGTGCACCTTTAATTTGTACTACCTCTGGGTTGGTTTACCACTGTATGACAAGAGTCTGATCTCAGTTCGGCAGGACAGTGGACTGATGAGGAATTGACACCTCACCAAGTCACTTTTTGTAGAGACTTGTGACATAAATAACATTGTTATTGTGAGGCCGCACACAACCAAATGTGACCGCTGCATTTTACCCACCACCACAGTGAACAGTGGGTGGAGACAGTGCCATGCTGAGAAAACAACCTGGCAGCTGGTGGACTCGAACGTGAAACTTTCTGGATCCAAGTCTGTTTCCTGAACATCAAGCCACCACTGCCTTTTCCACACCAAAACACAAGCCACACTGTGTTTTGTTTGTTTATAGAAACATGGACGTTTATAAAAGTGACTTCTAATTCAGTGAAACCAAAGTATCGTCCTAGTCTGTCCTGGTATCAGGACAACTATATTTTATTGCCACACCACACCTCATTAGTGAACAAAGTATTTGTCAGTACAGTGGTGGTTAAGTGGTTACGGAAGCAGACTTGGGTCCAGAAGGTTTCAGGTTCAAGTCCACCAGCTCTGAGCATGGCACCGTCCCCACACACTGCTGCCCCCTGTTGACTGTGGTGATGGATTAAAAGCAGAGGTCACAATGACCAGTAGTTGACTTTCCTTTTACAGTTTGTACTTCAGTGGTATATATTTTTGTATATATTTTTCAGTAAATATTTTTAGGCTAAAATGGAATCAATGAACTTTCAGCACAATTTCTTTTCGCTAAAGAGGCAAACATACACATTTATTTTTCTGATCTTTGATTTAATGTTGAACTGCATGTTCATTTTATTTGTCAAAACACTTAACATTGATTAATTGATTAATGTTGCATGTTCATTTTATTTGTCAAAACACCTTATTTTTATTTTTTCTGTCAGTTTCTGGGAACTATGACTGCTGCCAAAACATTAAGTGCTGAGTCAAATGGATTTCCAGCATAATTGACAGTAATAAAATGCATAATGTATAAAAATAAATACAAAAATTGTTGATAAAGGTTGCATAGTCAACATGCCAGGGTCAATTATTCCTTTTATATAGAGCTGCTCTAAATCTCCAGATGAATCACTGTAAAATGATGGAGAACGTTCAGTGAACATTGTGTGTGTTTGGTCTGTAAACATCTCTCCTGACATTAACCTGCAGATTTGATGCACAGATGTAGTTTCACTAAGCAGGGTCACTAATGCACTCTGTATGAAACCCGAGACAAACACACTCACCGTTCTTTTCATGGATCTGAACAAGAGATTTGTAGGACTGCTGTGCTCTGGCAAGATTGTACTGGTTCTGCATTAATGAAGGGAAAAAAAATGAGTGGCCTCAATCATCTTCACTGGGTTTATGATGCCAAACAGAACAGGAAATAACAATGACAGCAAGCAGAACGAGGCTCATCATATCTCCAGATTCAAACACTGAGCGCAGGCCTAGACAATCAGCAAACATCCTGCCCTTGTTCGTCAATTCATACCAGACAGCAGTCTGGTATGAATACTTATAAAGTATGCAGTGGCAGTAGTGGGAGGCAGGAGACCAGGTCTGGATGTCAGAGCTGTGTCCTTGTGGTTCAGGACACTGATCACATGGAGGTCACCGTTATCACAGAACATTTATTGAGCAGCTAAGAAACTGCTGCTGCTTTTTCACTTACTTTATTGGCTCCAAACTGCACTCTGGCTTTTCCTTTAACTAAAGTGGCATTGATCTGCATGATGACAGACTCAATGGAGTAGGCACTGCTCCAACCCTGCAATCAATTAATCAGGTGCCAGGTTAAAAAAACAACAACAACAACAACAACAACCTACAGGGCTTTCTTTTAGATCTAATAATTTTAGATCTTTAGTCCAACTGATATTTAACTTGCATACATCACTGACAGCGAGTTGAACGTAAAACAACATGACTGTATGCATGTAGAGTACGATATACACAAACCTGTTTGGTGAGAAGCTCCATGCACAGGGCACCGCCTCCAAGAACGTATCTAAGGAATGAAAAAACACTTAAATACAGTTTATAAAATAAAGCGAGGACAGAGTCTGTGAGAGACCGGACAGGACTCACCCTCCTGACAGCACAGGTGACACCACCCGCACAAAAGGTGGATCAAAGGGAAAATTATCCTATTATCCAGAGAGACAACGTTAAACTAAAGAAACTCAGACAAAACTCAGTTCAAGTCTACATTCCAACAAGTGATTCTGACTTACTTTATAGGAGAAGTTTAGTAAAATGTAATCCATTCCTTCTTTTTCCTTCAGGACTTGTAAATCACTGTGTAAAGGACTGTCAGGATCCACCCTGATGAAATAAGAGTCTGACAATCAGTTTGTGATTACAGGTGAACAAGTCAAACGCTGATTTGAAACTCCTCTGACAGGAGATGACAAAGTAACTCACGTCCTTAGTTTGACGTGCCATTCATACAGGCTGTCGTTGACGAGCTCCACTGAGTAAATGCCTGCAGAAGAAATGAAGTCTTAAATGTTTTCTACAGGGTCTAATAACAAATGCTTTCATTTCACTGAATTAGGATTAAATAACTTCCTAGTAGTGGCATTGCTGTTACCTTGGGAAGCTTGCTAACAGTAAGAACAAAAATATGACTAATTTCAAGAGCAGTATTCTGAGCCGTGTCCATACCTGTTTTGTAACTCTGAGATCTGTAGATCTCTCGGAGTTCCTTCATCAGGCGGTCAGAGGCCTGCACCGAGCCTGAAACAGCTCCCTGCAGAGCACAAATGCACACAGAGGTTTGTAATCAAACAGACCCAACTGTAAGATGTTCAAGATATGGAGGAACTTCAAAAGGATGTTTATTTCTGCTTGACAAACAACCTTGAGATAGAGATTTTACTGCTTTTAAATATATCAAAAGCTGTAAATTGAGACAGTGAAAGAGGCAGAATTAGTTTTATAGTGAAAGCTTTGTGCTGTTTTTGACACGTTTCACAGGCTCCAGAACTGAGCCATAACATAGGACCAGAGAGACAGACAAAAAGGGGAGAAAGAAATGGCCCATCCCAGAAGAAAAACAAATATTTTCAAAAGTATGCAGCTCTGACAGATGCCTCAAAAGACCTGAAAAACTGTGCACAGGAGTGGAGACATTCTCTGGACAATGACAATCACACTTGTCTCTGTTATATCAACTGTTCTAATCCTTTTGAATGACTGAATTTACCTCTAAGGCTGGGCTTGTGCAGGTGGCACAGCGGGGTGGTTTTGAAGTACAAACTGTGGATTGTTTGCCAATAGTGAGTTCTAGTTTGGGTTCCACTGTCTTAAATGATTATTCCTTACAAATCATTCAGCATTAATTCTATGCATATCAAAAAAGAATCAACAAAATGAATCCACTTTGGACTGTATTAAACTGTCCTTCATTTATTTCATTCAAACTGCACAACTTGTCGTTTTACAGCAAGCTACATGAATAAATGGATTCAGATTTTTTATTCATATTGTAAGAAATACAGTAAAGCTTACATTTAAGTGATCCTGCCGTTGGTTCTTTCTTATCTTCTCCAGGATGGCCAAGTTCTCCTTCTCAATGCCATCGTCCTCAGACTTCTTTCCATCAACCGGCTCTTCTTCTTTCATTTCATAATGGTCCAGATCCTCTATGTCCTGTGTGTTTGAGACGATGATTCAACAAATACCCAATAAAACCAGTAACAAACGAATGTGTGGGCCTAAAAGACAAAGGCGAGGGCTTACCTCTCCCATCTCCTCTTCTTCTTCTTCTTCAGAGGTGACCTCATCTGTCCCATGCTAAAGATGAAAAAAAACACCAAAGAATAGATTATTGCTTGATGCATATATGGTGTTTGGAAACGTAAATCCACTTAAAACAAAAAAAAAGAAAGGATTTTATTAAAATTGAATAAATACTACTGGATGGTATGGTCAGATGTGGTCAGACCCTTTTGCATCTTGTGCCATTTATTTATAAAAAAAAACATGCAGCATTAAGAAAGTAGGGCACCCTGCCTTTCTGTCTGGTCCCACGGGTCCTGCAGGCAGGGGCTGGTCCAGCATCTCCACATCAGGATGTTGGGGCAGATTGTACAGTCGACACAGGTCACAAATGAGTTTCTTCAACTGCTGCAAGAGCTAGAAATCGCAAATCACAAAGTGGAGGAGGCAGAGAGACACAGACGTATGTGACTTCCAGACCATGTTTTCTAGCATTTCATTAAAAAAATAGTTTTCCAAATTCAAATTTAATCAACACACTGATCTGATGTAATCTGCCAATTCTGGTGCAACTCTAAAGTTACCACACAAAAAAACATCTGTGCAAAACTAGGAAAGTAGATCATCTTGAAAGATGTCAACAGTTTTTGTTGTTTTCATAATCACCCCCTGACCTCTCCCTACTAAGACATAGCCTTAGAGCCAAAGTGATTCTAGTTGACTGTAAAAATAAAACTCAGGTTCTTTAAATTTGTCTTCATATGTGACTGAGCCATCAATGTTATTAATACTAAGTGCGTTCCACCATCTTTAATCTGACACTAATTATTTAACAAGTGCTATCCTGTGACAAACAAGCAAGTCATTATGAAAGATGTCATCATGTGACAAAAGGCTTCCCTTTCAAACATCTGCTACTCATCACATCAAGTTAACCTACATGCATTTCCTGTGTCAGTGCCTAACCACACACCTGAGTGAACACACAAACTACACATACAGCTGACATGTCAATGGGAGTGCGACAGAAATGGACCGATTCAAAACAACAGGTGGAATAAGATTAACGGGTGGGAAAACACAGTAGCAGAGGGAAAATAAAACTCTGCACCTCAAGAATGTGGCTCACATAGGCCACAACTCAGCTGAGTGAAAAGGCCGATGAAAATGTCCTTAATGGAGGATGTCTAGAAGAAAACTAGATGAAAAATCTAAAGTAAGCTTGCCAAAAGAAGAGAGACGTGAGTCTTTGAAGTGACACCGATGAAGGAGAGTCCAGTCTCTTAATCAAGGCCGAGAGACAGGGGTGGGGAAATAGATAAGATATGAGAAAACCAAATAAACAGCACACAAAAAATACAGTGTGAACAACATTTTTTTAAATGAGAGGTGAGATAAAGCAGTCAATTTAAACTTTAATCAGTAAAATAATGTCCTCTGTTGTCTGGACTGCACTATGACCTTAAGGCAACTCATCTTCCTGTTTTATGAACTCTGTAAAGGTCTTTGAAATATATTACTTACAAAAGGACAAACACATCATCTTAAGGCAAACAAAAGACCCGTATTCAGTCACACAAATGTAGGACAAAAGACTGTGATGCTCCCTAATATTCTAACACGACAAGCATAACTCAGCCCCAAAGCCACAAACATATACAATAAGTGAATAAGAAAAAGGTTTGTCATCTAACTACTGTATCGATATTTTACAAGTTTTAACAGTCGTTACCAAAGTTCAGTGGGTCCTACTTTTTTCTGCAGCACCTGCCCTCATTTTGTATATGTCATTCATATACAAAACAAACATTTCCAGCCACTTAAAATTTATTTTCAAAACTGATGACAAAAGACAGTTTAGTTTATCAGCCTGAAATGCACTTATGCAATTCTACAGGCCAAATGAAGGTGTTAGATAAATGCAAGGTTACCATCTCTAACACTGCACTCTACTGATGACAGACGCATGTCATTTGCAGTTGCTATGAAAAAATACCTTTGACTGTTTTCACACTTTCTTAATGTATTAAAATTCCGGTGTGTGTATGTAGTAACTCTTGGTCTCAACAAGCCTTTGCCTTTGTCAACATTGATACAATGTTTAAGCTCATACATATTTGACAGTAAAAAACATAATGCATTGTGAAAAAAAGCTTATGTTGCACAGGTAGCACCGAGAGCTTCAATAAACTGGGTTAACGATGGCAAGGATGTCAGCACATTGCCATAATTATGTAGTGATTTGCTTCATACAGTAATAAACTTAAATGTCAGTGTGATGATCTGATGTAACATCCATTCAATAAAAAAGTTATGGCTGTTAAGGGGGAATATTTAGTTTGTCAATACTGGCATTTAAACTAGGGACGTCCGATAATATCGGCCCAATACTAGCATATTATGTATTATCTGTAAGAATCGTTGTCAATTTTTTCTCCAATAATGAAAACCCAATAATGCAATGTCTGGGTTCTGCCAAATGTTATGTTCCATAAAAATAGTTTTGGGGAGAAACAGCTGTATATTAAAATGAAGGTCACTAGATGACAGCATTGCAGCTCATTTAATTAATCTCATACTCACCAGTGGTTTGTACAGATTCATTAATTAATATTACTAGGCTTGTATCGGTTTCTTTTGATATAGGACTCAGAAATGAAGAGTTTGGACAATATCAGCAAAAAGTTAATATCAGACATCCCTGGTTTAAACCCAATTTTGCGTGAAAACTGGATCACATGACACCAAAGCTCGCCATTTAGGTCTATACACTACATGGTCTGATCCTGAGACTCGACCACAGTCCTTATACTGTCCACCAGCGTCAACAACAACAGGTACACACTGCAGCAAAAACAGAGTCAAAGCCAACTACTGTACTATAAACAAAAAGCAGTGGGGGCTGCTTGTTGCTCAGAGTTAAGACGAGTGAAACTTTTAGCCCTCGTTTGTATCAGAGAAGAAGCACTAATGTCTTCTGACATTACACTTCTTCTTTGCTATGAAATTTCTCTGCCTCTTGAAAAATGTGGCTCATTACATTGGCATATCTCAGATAAGAGTAATCTGCAACAGCTTCTTCAGGAAAAGAACCTTCCACAACTGAAGCCCACTGTGGTCATATTTATTAAAATGTACCAACACTAAGACAAAAAATGCCAAGAACGTATTTACATATATTGGGTTTGTTATTTGACATGTAGGCCACATCAAGCTCACATCTGTTTTGTCTGGGTCAGATGAAAAAACACAGCACAGTGTCAATGCCAGAAGTGGCCCACATGTGAATGCTGTCTGAAAGTAATGTTGGAAACTAGTGTTGTGCATATATGTCGAATTCAAGGCCCGGGGTCCAAATGTGTCTTGCTAAGCTGTTTTGTGTGGTCTGCGGGAGCTTAAAAAACATAGTAAAGTCCACGCAGCTGAGTTTCTTAACCTAAGTAATTAAATGTTTTTATAATCAATCAAATAATAATCAATTGCAAAAACGTGTATTGGTCTGTTATGGAGTAGTTACATCTATACAAGTGGTCCCCGACCTTTTTTGTTCCAAGGACTGGTCAGTCCCACCCGTTACTACAGACCAGTAGCAAAGTACTGAGCATCGAAGGATCATTAACTTTTCAACATAAAACATCTTTTAGACTGTATTCTGGTTGTATCAGTCTCAATGGCCTATATTTTAACATATTGACAGATTATCTTTAAATAAATAAAGTTAATGATATGACAGGATTTTCTTGTAATAAATTAGTAAAAATTAAGTACATTTTTTCACTGTGTCCCACTGTGGCCTGGTACTAAATGACCTATGGACTGGTACTGGTCTGCAGACCAGGGGTTGGGCACCCCTAATCTGTACAGTCTTCCATTTACAATCGACCCTTCAAGGGGAACTGTATTGTTAATGTGGCCCTCTATGAAAATGATTTTGAAGTTAAGCTTTGCTTTCCCGTTAAGCAGTAAGCAGTAAGTCTTTCAAACAAAGATATTTTTTTAGATTATACTTTTGATTAACCTATGATTTGATACAAGTTTGTGCCTGTTGATCATAGTTTCTTAATGTAGATTAAAACCCAACAACTAAATGAAATAGAAAGAGTTGTTAAAAAGGCTGTACACCAGGTGCTGATCGGAAAACTCTGTTTTCAAGGTAATATTAAGGTAGAAAGTTTAATGTCACAGGCCATACCCCATGACATGATTGGCTGGAAGAGATCTTGTGTTGTTGCTGTGCTCAAAGATTTTAAAATATGCGTTTTCAGGATATCCTGTTCAAAGCTCTTCTGAATAGATACAAAGACATGACCAGTGTTAAATGATAACACACACGTGTTTCAAACTCCTGTACAACACTGTATACAGTAAATACGTATGGACAACAGTATGGATGCATTTCTTCTAGTGTCCACGATAAAAATGAAGTTTACATTGATCCTGGTCACACAGAAACAGATTGGGGAAGCAGCCATTTGATTGACATTGAACATTTTAACAAGTAAAACCAAGTGTTTCAACAACAAATTAGAGTGTTAGAGAAGCCATAGTTCAATATGGTTGGATAAGTACCAGAGTGCTGCCTTTTCTCACATCTTCCAACCTCTCCAAAACTTGTGCCAAGCTCGGATCATCGGAGTCCACAAACCATATAGGCGATGTAGAAGGATATGATTCCTGGAGTCGGGGACAAACACACGAAATATACAGTCGGATCAGCACACAAGGTTTTACTCCGATGGAAGAGTCAATAACACAACACTAATAGTGACGACATTAGCATTCAGGGTGCAGAAGTGGCTAACTGCTCAGTTTACTTGTCAACACTGACTATTACGGATAAAACGCATACCAATGCTCTGTGGCGCCGAACGACATGAAATCATCTACAAAGCCTCCACATGGCAATAGATAAAACCGTCGAGAATTTGTGTTATTAAGTTTCATAGCTAGCAGGCTAGCCTGCTAACTTTAGCCTGCTAACTGCGTAGGGGAAGAGTAAATCCCGGCACTTCTTTGACTGTCCCTTACCGTTATGTTGCAGTGGATAATAAGCAGCTTCTCCCCAGTTACGTTGAACTGGCAGCTTAGCTCGTCAGGTTTCCAGTCTATAATCCTGAATCGTTCGTGGTTTGGGTCAAAAATGGATTCCAAAAACTTCAATTCGGCCTTCAGCCCCGACACCGACATCTTCCCTGCATCTCCGGCTGGGCCGCTGGGGAGGGGGAGAAGTCGGGACTTAGCGTTTAGCAAGCTGAAGCCACAACGGAGAAAAGCAAGGGGGTATACGATACAGAAATGTCCATGAGACGGGAGCCTCACCCTTCAGAAGAAGTTGGACACCCAGCGTCCGCTGCTCACACCGTCCGGTCAGATTTCAGCGCGACCGGACAGATTTGTTAATGAAGTAGCTGACGTTGATTAGCTTGGAGCTAGCTGTGAAAACAGCGCAGTGCTAACAGCGGACCTGACCGTTGTTGTTGTCTTTCCCTCTATTGTTGTTGTCTTCGTATCATCACAACATTATAAACAGTAACGTCGGGCCCAGTGGTCGTTTCCTCACAGTCCCATCGGGCAGTTCCCTATTATTAACTTGAGCGGGAAACAACCACACATTCCCAACAATCGGAACTTGTATCCCGCTGCGGGGGACAGTGTTCTCTCAGCCCGGTGTTCAGCTGTAGCCTGGCCTCTTGTGGGGTTTAAAGATGGCGTTCAGCAATATGCCCGCTCCCGCAGAATCCCAGCATTCAGCGCGTACTCACGTTATTTCTGGGCAGTCAAAAACAAAAAAGAAAGTTGGTAACATTACATGTCTTTGATCCAGAGAGAGTGCGTAACAAAGTGTCCACTGTGATGTTGACTTGTTTGCAGAAACATGAAGCCAGTCTATATATATATAAAAGACTAGCTTCATGTTATATATGTGTATATATATATATATATATATATATATATATATGTATATATATATATATACACACACACACACACACACACACAATATTTGTGTTAAATACAATGTTTGACAAATTATAAAGACGTTCGTTTATCCATGCGTTTATTTCAAAGGTGAGCCATGTGGCTTAAGGAACGGTACATATATAAATTGCCTTACAATTCTTCCGTAAGGGAGTCTGCAGACCTCCTAACGTTAGATTTGTAACTTTAGAAAAACATAGCCCTGCAAAAATATTTTCCTACTGGAACTTTTCTGATATGATTAAAGTAAGTCTTGATTTAAGCATGATTTTAAGTAACTGTTGCTTTTATACACACCAAGCATCTGTTAACTATTCTTTTGAACGGACCTGCCTCATACAAGAAGGCGATATCTTTATTTACACGTTTCAAGTGTTTTTGTGTTATGTTAAAAAACTACTAATGTCTATAGTCGGTGTAAAAATGGCGAGCATTCTTTGCAACTTAACTTCTAGAGATTATCCTGTAACATTCCAATACTGGAATGCTTTGGGTTGTTGTATTATTCAAAATGAAAAGAGGGCAGAGACCTAGTCTTTTAGTTTGATTTTATTGTTTTTATTTATTTTTGCCAGAATATTGAATTTCGACCAAAGGTTATGTATTTACTTACCAACTGACTTATTTGATTTGGTACTGAATGTACAGATAACTTTCTTCCTGTAGTAGAACCTAAAGTCCAATAGATGGCAGTGTTGGTTTTAACATCTTAGCCACTCGTGTTGAGGGACACGGGCATACTTGTTTATTTATATTTTGTTTATATATATAATGGCTGAGTAAATGGCATTACATTTTTAATGTTATGCTTGTTTAAATTGTTTATTTCTTAAGTGGTAAACCCCCCTTTTTAATCAATAAATATAATTTATCATACCTTTGAGAGTTTAAAGCCTCCAAGTAACCAGTAGTCACTTTTTATACATTATTGTAAGTCCCTTTATTTGGCTCTCTCTGAAAGGAGGTAAAATGTACCATTTAAAAAGACCACTGACAAAGCATCAGTACTTAGTGTTGAATTAAATGTGTACAATTTTCTGTGCACGTCACATTTATATGTCACACTATAAATACAGATTTTAATTGGATGAGTATACCTAGTCTGTCTACAGCTGTTAGTCTGTAGACAGACTGTAGACTAACTGTAGACTAAGGTCATGCATGAAACACAACAAGCAGGAATCAACCTTTAAAAGCTCATGTCACCCAAACACAGGTCTGTTTTCATTACACCTTACAATGTTGCAATTGTGTGCAATAAACTCATTCTACCTGGAGTGAGGTCAGAAGATTTGTTAATGCAATGGTTTCTCAGGAAAGGTCAAGGTTCCAGTCTAGTAAATGTTGTAATTCATTTTAGGTGAGGAGGAGGTTGATGTAAACCCAACAGAGATTTTCATTTTCATTTTCATATTCATAGCACCTGACATTCTGTTCTTGTTCTGTTGTGTTACCTAGTGAGAAGTGAGAGTATTTTAGATACAAACACAATATCTGCGTACTGTAATTATTCATGGTTGGACATAGTAGTAGTAGTCTCTTATATAAGGAATAATGTAAAATCAGACCAAATAATTCAACAAAGAATATGACAAATGTATGACAAATGTTAATTTCTATGTATTAAACAATGTTTTCAATACATGGAAATTATTTTTAACATGTTATTTTTGAACAAATGTTTTGATTTACAATTTCATTTTTTATCTATTTATCAGACAAACTAGATAAATCAGCTGATATGGTAAATTGTCTCCATTTGATCTTCTTAAATGACTTAAACCTAAAGCCTAAGGGTAAATCAAAAATTTGCCACTTTTTATAAATTAATGGAAATCATTACAGCTTTGCAAAAGGATTTTCATCTAATTTATCAATTACCCAGTAGTCCAGGCAAAAGAGGAAGCTGTGATCTGGGGCAAAACACATTTCTCAGAATATGAGAAAAAAATGGAGAAATGTTTCAATTGAAATAAACAATATGTATTAAACAGAACAGATTATATGTTTTTAAAAGAAACAGTGTTTCTAAGTGGTTTTAGTGTCAAAGTCACTCAGCATCCATTTAATATATGGAGGGAGAATGCAAATGGATGGGAGGAAACAGGCGACTGAGAAAATGGTTGTAGAACTCAACCCTGACATTACAGCCTGGAGTATACAGTACATCAGAATATTTCTGGCAGATTTACAGAGACATGACAGAGTCCTGCCTGAACCTTGTCGCTGTTTGGAACAAACCAAAACCAAACGTCTGTGACTGAATCTTGATTGTCTTTTCAGATGTGTTTTATGATGCAGCAGCTGATGTGTAGTCTGTCAAACAGTGCCTGGGGACGCAGTAATAAAGGGGCAGATTGCTGTTGTCCTCTGTGATTTATTCTGGCCCTCCATCCTCCATTTGCACTAGACCAAAAGTTAATTAAAACCCTGGCTTGTCTCCTCACTCCTCTCTGGAAGTCTGAGAGCAAATGATTTGACAACATTTACAGCCTTAATTCCTTCATGCCATATATGCCTATTCCTTAAGTCCAGCCTTTTCTTTATCCTCATTATAAGATGTAAAGTCAAAGCTGCCACCATGTTTCATTTTCACCGTCCCATTAAAATATGTGTGCAATTTATGGGTTGCAAATAACTGGCAGCACTTTTGTAATTAAATTGTGGATCAGCTAAACTCCTGCTCCTGTTGAAGCCCTGTTAAACTAATCAGCTGAAAATTGTCTGTTTCTACATCAGGCTAAAACAGCTTTTCATAAATAGTTCATGGTTTCTGAAAAGATCAGCTGCCTCAGAGCCACACTGCTGTTAAAGTGTAGGTGTGTGTAGATGTGTGTAGATGTGCGGCTGAAGCCGTTCCTCAATCGCCTGCACTGCTGATTCACCATATACAGCAGGGCAGTTTGTCAGTGGAGACAGCAGCAGTCCCAGTAAGCAGGAGCGATATTCAATTTCTTTTTCTGTGCGAAAGAAAGGACAGGTCGTACCCAAGACACGGCCCTGAGTGAACGTGTGTCGCACAGATGGCACTGAATTTACACAGAACATTTACACGTCTGTGTGGATCCTATATGAAGCCACTACATGCTTAATTTATGGCACGTCGAGTCTTTGTGCAGTATTACCCTGCGTGCTTTAACTGTCGACACTCTGAGGAACGATATGTCAGATATACAGTCCATTATACACTGCGTGGTGGACCAGTCTGCCACTGCACTTCACTGACTGTAAAAAAAAAAACTAAAATTGTCAACTAAAATACATGCCTTTAATTTTTATTTAAATGTCTGTAAATAGAAGAAAACAGGGAGGAAGAAAGATGTCCACAGTGGGAGTTTCCCCTGGAGCGCAGCACTGACGCTGACAGTGGCCCAGCAGCAGCTTTTCAGTTTAAAAAAATTGATTTTGGTTTAAATAATATGTGTTATTCTTTATTATTTAATCCTTCATTATACATTAACCAGTTAATAAACAGGTAATAAAAATAAACAGCAAATCAAAGTTTTAACCAGCACAAGGGCACGGACAAATGGTGCATTTACTGCCCCATCAATGTCAAAAACATAAGACATCTCATTTAAACTAGGTTTTATAGCTCGCACTCAGGACGCTGTGATCAAACTTTGTCACTGTAATAAAAACTGAAGCATAAATCAAGATTAATGATGTGATGTACCTTGATATACAACAACAGAATGAAAAGATGCAGCAGATGTGTTACACTGTTCACAGTCATGTATTTTTCATGTGTTTTTTACAGTGTAATGGATAAATGGACAGGGTTGTTGCCAGTCTAATTGGATAAAGGTTATCTGTGGGGCATCACAGTTCACTGGGATCTGTTGTTTCTCATATGACCTAACCAAGTAAACTGCTACCTAATCACATTCAGGCCCAGGTCTATTTACTTCCTGCATCACTGTACCTCCTGTAAAAAGGCTGGGTGGAGTGCTCTCACTGCTAATACTGTTTACACAGACCCTGACAGGCTGACAATGGGGGGGCAGCTTAAATCAATTAGCTAAAAGGACAAATATCATCTAAATCATACCCTGCTCCAGGCAGTGGGCCTGAAAATACAAGACACATTCAGGCAGAGATGAGTAGAGATCACTTTTTCAGCCGTGTTCACAGCACGCAGTTCTGTACGTCAGGAATAAACACAATATATCCTGATACTGATGTGAGATACTGTAAATATATGTATATATATATATATATATATATATATATATATATATATATACATACTGTATATGCTGCAGGTTCAAAGACAAGAGGCTGTCAGTGTATGTACATGAAGACAGACTTTATATAAACACAAGACAGAACTTCTTATGAAGAAGACTTTAAAATGGCTCAAATCACAACAAATGTTTGACCTTCTCTCCTGCAGGGGGTGCTATGAGCTATTTTAAATGTTCATGAGTTAAGTATGCAGGCAGAACATTAGTGGGATAGAGACAGCTGGAGACATTTTGGTGCCTTAAGTGGGATGATGTTTGGTGTCCCTACCACCGCTAAACATTATAAATAAATATAAATACATGAGAAAACTAGAAAGACCTGAATGAGTTTTTACAGCCATGGAACTTTTACACCTGTCCCCAGTGAGTCTTTGTCGGATCAGAGAGGGACATCGTAGAATGAAGACAACGTTGGACATATGGTCGCTGTGCTGAGAAGCTGTATGTGGCAAATACTAATTCCTACCAGCTATTGTGATCACAGCGGAAACTTCAAGAAGTCGAGGGTCTCAAGGGGAGCACCGTGCCATCTGGATTCATGGGAGCTGTGACACATCCAATTTACTTCCAGTCCGAACTCTCTCTGTCGTCCTCAC